TGTACATTTATTTTTATTTGTATTATAATTTTGTGAAGCCTTTTGTGAACTCTATGTCTGTGAAAGGTGCTATATAAATAAACATTACTTATTCGCTTACGGCTCAACCTCAAGTTGATGAACTCACTTAGGTCCAGTTATACAGTAGCTGTCATACACATAGCTTAGTTTTTTATTTCAGAATTTAAAAGAAGAAAATTACCAACAACACATGTAACTAATCAATAAACAATGATTGGTTCATACTAAAGGCTGTTTCACGCTGCAAGTTTTTAAAATTGTTGGGTGATTTTCTAAATAACTAGTTTGGCAGTACATTGTGTTGTCTCCAACCACACTACAAGGACATCAAAGACAGGCCATTTTGATTCAGGATATTTAGCTGTCAGAGGGGAAATCTTGCCAAACCCTCCAGATCAAGTATGAGTTTGCATTAAACACACATAGCGGATGAAGCAGATGCAACTACAGTTAGTGAGTGGGTATATTTTATCAGAGAAAATAAGGAATAACAGGGAAAGGTATTGGGTAATGGAGTGCAGACAGCATTAACAGGAATATCACTTGGAACACTTTTATTTGGGGGCGAGTTGGGTTCTTTTTGGGTTTTCTTAAAGGACTCACGAGTCCAGGAGGCTTTTGAAATGGTGATAACTGCTGTCTAAATGGGTCGGGTCTTGGTTCTCAGCTCTGTGGGTGTGCGTAGAGACAGGTTTGAAAAAGCAGGACTCTGATGCATATATGAAAACAGATTCGGACTCACTGGGACAGCTCATAATGGGGAGTATATAAATGAATAGTCTAAGATGTTGTTAGCTTGGTTGTCCTCTGGAGGACACCACACACGGTAGGATATCGAGCCAAGAGAAACCAAATTGCTGGATTTCCCAGATTTGATGTTTTTCCGATGAGACCCGATCACTCTTAAAAGACACAGCAAGATCATCTCCCCAATATCATGGCCTCTTGGAAGGGGAAGGTCATTCGTAAAAGTCAACAACATTATCTTGCCATGTAATCCTCGTGGTATTTGTCTTCCTCCTAAAATGTTGCTGTGATTCAATCCTTGAGAGAGTTGTAGGCTGTGCTGCTGCCATCAACACCTTTGCTGATAGATGTCGGAGCCTGGGTTTTTTGTCAGTGTAGTCCTGTTTATTTGACTGTGACTAACTGTATGTGCTCTCTTTCATCCTCTGAAATGGTAGCTGGCTCGGAGCTCGTCTGCTTGGCTGTGTGTTTCCTGGACAGGGCTGCCTGCAGAGCTTATTTATAGTTGCTTTTTGTATCTCTAATCCCTTCTGTACGTCTTCTATCTCCTTGAACTGCCTCGGCAGATGGCAGCTCACACTGAGCCTCATTCTGCTAAAGGTCTCCTCCAGTTAAAAAGGAGGTTTTTCTCTCCACTGTCGCTACAAGCATGCTTGGTGTAATTACCTGCGAGTATATGAGTCGATGCAATCAGCTGGTTTTCCTTAGAAAACTTTGAATCAATCTGACTGTATGATCTGGTTGGATTGTCTCTGTAAAGTGCCTTGAAATGACATATGTTGTGAATTGGCGCTTTATAAATACACTGAATTGAATTGAAACATGCTTTATATTAGGGCTAAAAGTTGACCAGGTCTGTCCAAAGAACTATGGGAATTCTTTATAAATAACGAATCAGTCTTATCTGGATCATTAGTTTTAGGTATCAGAGGTATTCTCCTGACATCCTTTTCAAACAGGTAACTCTTATTCAGCCTTTATCCATTTCTGCTGCAATGAATATTTAATGTCTTAACCGCAGCCTATAGAGTCTGAGAGGGAACAGCTGTCTGTTTTGTAGCGTCTCTGACCACAGCAGATCTGATGTTGGGGTGAATCTTTAGGATGTCCACTCAGGGGGGAGATTGGAAAATGCTTTCAAACTTTAAAAAAAATCTCCCAAATATAGAATGATAAAATTCTGGTTGTTTGGAAATACCAGTTATATTCGCAGCCCATGATCCTTTATTTCTTTCTGGCTTTGTGTTATTTTAAACAGATCGGTAAACACCAGAGGTTAAGAACTGCACAAAAAAACTCATTTTAAAAAGTGGGCAGGCCTGCTGGTAATCAGTTTATCAAGTGAACCTAATTAGCAGCGCCTGAAGGCAACTTTCCTATTCTCAAC